GTATTCATGGAAGACAATCTTTCTCGGCTATGAGTGATCGCTAAAGAAGAAAGATGATCATGTTGATTGAAACTTTTCTAGCTCTACAGTATCTTTTTTGAGGTGAGGCAACCAGAACTATACAAGTGCAGTATTCGAAGTGCAGTTGCACCATAGATTTGTATTACATCATTAGGGCAGTTTTATTTTCAATCCCAACATCCTTTTTCTGGTCCGTCACTTACTGTACACACCCCATAGATGTACATGTGTAGTTTTTAATTCACATTCACCCACTTTCAGGAGTTACCTTTGAAGATCTTTCCAATCCTTTTTTCTTTTAACCACTCTGAACAATTTGTTTTCATCACCAAATTTGACTCTCCCACTGCTCAATCCTAACTCTAGGTCATGTATTAACAAGTTTAAAAAACACTGGTCCCAATACTATTTCTTGGGGGCACCATTTTTTAAAAATATCCCTCCATTTATTCCAACTTTCTGCTTCCTCTTATGGATCAGTAACTGATTAAAGAACTGCTCTCTTATTTCACAACTGCTAAACTTAGTCAGGAGTGTTTGGAGAGCTACTTCATTGAAAGCTTTTTGAAAATCTTAGTACACAATCTAGATGCAACAAACATTCCATGCATATACAATATAAACAACACAGTTAAACATTAAGCAAATTCATAGTTTAGAGTTCATTACAATGGTTAGGTGTCTTCTATTCTATGCCTTAAACAGATTGTCCCAGTGTGAGCCATGAATAGCTACTGGTGGGGTGAGGACGGGACAAAAATGTCCTTTATAGTGTACTGAATAAGCATGTACCATATAGTTTGAAAATAGTCAGTGGTATTTGGGTTCCTCCAGATTTTTTGGACTGCAACTTCTCAGTCCCAACCATCACAGCTGTGCTGGCTGAAGCTGATGGGTATTGTGCAGTTTGAAATGTCTTGAAGGTACATGGCTGCAGAAGACTGAAACAGGGGGAAGAAATATGTGGACTACAGCTATTTGGCAACCACAGAATCATGTCAGTACAAAAACTCAAGTGCTTGCGTCGAAAAGACTCAAAACCTTCAGGTACATATAAACCTTCAACTGTGGTCACAAGTAGATTGAAGCAAACTAATTCTGTTCCTAGATGGAAAATCAGGGTAGGGATCACCCACAGAGATTAAGGAAATGAGGGCTATTCACACCTTCCTTATTCTAGCTAGCACAATAAACATGTGTTCATCTATCTTCCTTCAAGGGCATTCCTTCAGATATACACAGGATTCTCTACTGTATATTAAAGCTGACATAAAAAGTTTTAGTAACCTGAAAAGGAACACTTTAGTAAATGTTTCAAATGCAATCATGCAATTTTAGGTACTATTCCACGTAAAAAGAATTACAAAGGGGATTAAATTGGTCATTTAGTGCTCATATTACAGATAATTAGAATGAAATTACTGTGACCAAAATTATTTCTTCAGGAACTCAAAGTTCAGTATGTTATGCAGGGGTAAATTATTCCACTCATAACATCCAAGACTTCCAAAGTGAGCAAACAGGATAGTCAGTAACGGGTGTAACAGGAAGCCACACTGAAAGCACTGTCTGTTTCTTTCGACAACCATCAGCACACTTATGGCAGTAAAACACAAACTGTAATAAAAAGTACTAGGCAAGGATTCAAAATAAATTTCTTTATTTCAAAATAGTGTTTAATATCAAATGATCCAGTTAACAGAAAGGTCATAGAGCAAGTAACAAGCTTTTTTATAAAAAATATATATATGGAAGAGTTCACAATTCCGTATTAACTGAGGACCTCTGTCTTCGTTAAATGGATAGATTAGATGACAAGAAAATTGTTACTTTAACTGCACTTTTGCACTGCTTAACTTTTATCATAGATGGTTCCCAAAAGGTTGGCTCCAGAAAGGCTAAGTGATGGAAGAAATTTAAGAAACTAAACATAGAAAAAAGTTTCTTAAAACTATTCACTAATGTGCTCCCCTGTGGAGATAAATATTACACACCATTAATATTTCTATGACACATAGTAGCAGGATATATTTAGCATGTCAAACAATTCACACAATTTTTTATTTTTGGAATAAAAAAAGTGTTAATAATCATATGATAACTCCCAATCATTTGAAGGCTTCATATGTCCCAAGCTAGAAAACTTCCACTATTGAGTATTTTGCACTTGAAGACTGCATAAAGAAGTGCTATAGTGGAGTAGTTAGAAATTTTAACAACAAAATAGAAGCAACCCTTGCATTTCCTTTAATACTGAAATCACATTCTAGGAGGAGGAGTTCAGTACAGTTCCCATAATTTTCATATTTGATCTAACAGTGTGACACTAGTTCTGCTCATGAAGTGTTCTATAAGGTAAAACGAATTACAAATAGACTATCAAAGGTGATGAAAACACAGTACGAACAGATATGTACAGTAATTCATTTTTGAAGAGCGATACTGGATTCTCCTCAAATATTCTTGGATTAATTAAAGCTTGATACATAATAACTTGGGGGGGGAGGAGTCAAAGCCATATAATAATGGTTGCAGCATACAAAAAACAAAAGTCCCAAAACAGAAATGCTTGTTTCACTAAATGTGCTCCAATAGTGTTTTCGGTTGTTGGTTTGTCTGGCAACACTGAACACCTACGTCAAAGAATGGGGAGCTTACTGGTCTACTCAATTTGTTTGCTCTAAAAATTTCCATGTCTAAAACATCCATGAAATCATGCCGCTATAAAAATAACATTTTACTGACATTTTCTCTCTCTCTGAAGTACAATGGAGGAAAGATCAGAATCCAATCCTACAGTTGCAGCAGCAACAAAAGAGAAAAGGGGAAAGCTACCAGAGGAGGAGAGAAAGGCACTCCTTCTGCATTATCAAGTCAAATGTATTGAGAAGCAAGCAGGTAGCTCCATAGAATACCCAAGTATATTCTTAACATTTTCTTTTCCAGTAACAACTCAGTAGTAAGCATTGGTAAATCAGTGTTGGAAGGTTCAGGCTTAACTTTTCATTTTCCTGGAATTTTTATTTGCCACACACATGGGTCATTTGTTACAATAAAAGGAATGGTTGTCACTGTGTTTGGATCAAGAAAGCATAACCTACAGACAAAGGTCAAACATTACCAAACCAACAGGCCATTGGGAAATTTGGACTTACGAAGAAAAATCAGGTTAACCAGGTAGCTGAATTAAACTGAATTAATGAGTCACATAAAAACTCTTGGAAGTCACAGTAAATTAGCACCAGTGTATGGAAATCTGGAAGTCAGTTAATGCACTGGGTTAGATTTCAATTATGCCATGAGAACTATTTAGGGCAAATTTAATTTCCAAAGTGTGCTGCTCACTCCTAAACGTTTACTACAAAGCTGCTACAGTGGTACCTCGCAAGACGAATGCCTCGCAAGACAAAAAACTTGCTAGACGAAAGGGTTTTATGTTTTTTGAGCTGCTTCGCAAGACGATTTTCCCTATGGGCTTGCTTCGCAAGACGGAAACGTCTTGCAAGTTTGTTTCCTTTTTCTTAACACCGTTAACACAGTTGCGACTTGACTTCGAGGAGCAACTCATAGCACGCGGTGTGGCACTCTTTTTTGAGGTTTTTAAAGACTTTGGTGATTTTTGAAGCTTTTCCAAAACTTTCCCGACACCGTGCTTTTCAAGACGAAAAAAATCGCAAGACGACAAAATTCGTGGAACGAATTAATTTCGTCTTGCGAGGCACCACTGTACTTTTAAGATACAATAGTATGATATTCCTTCTTTAAATAACTTCAAATACTTTATCAAACAATCACACATTTTAAAACTTAAAAACATCAGCTTTATTAATTCATTTCATTGGGAAGCATTTCCTGTGTAGCAAGTCTTACCCAGTTCCCTTTTATTCTTACCATGACTGCTGTGTGAAACATCAACATTTCTGCATTTGCTGTCTTAAATAAAAATACCAAAAATTATTTATGCGCAAGACTTGGAGGATGGGGGCAAAAGGAAACACACGGCACTTCCCTGAATTGTCACCACACTTCCAATTAGTTTTTCTTAAATACAGAGAAGTCACACCTTGCACATCTAACTTGTGCCAGGAAATTTGCATGCATTTAACTTGTGCCAGGAAAGCCTAGCGTGAAAAGAACATTTAAGTTCTCAGGCTTGCTTACTGGACTCTGGGAAGCTCTTACGAGATGTTGGATGACCCCACGAGAGCTTCCCAGTTTTGTAAGCAAATTTGAGAGTTTAAAAGCTCTCCTCCTTGCATGGGAGGCAAAACACACTCAGTGCACCAGCTTCAGAAATGTAGGGATGCACACGAGTGTGGTTCTGGGGTTGTTTTGACTATGCACCTGATTTCAACTTTATGCCCCTTTCCTGGAATGTAACTTCCATGCAAGTTGTGAGTCAACTGTATAGTATAAATGAAACTTGATGGGGTGAACAGCGCTTTAAAGTTGCAATTGAACTTACTGCAAAGTAAGCACCACTGATCTCAACTAGAGTTGTGTTTTTTTAGTAAACATGTATTGTAAAATCTGAATCAGTTTGTTCGTGATGCACTTTAGATAAAACTTAAATTATATAAATCTACAGATGAGAAAATAAAATATTTGTTCACATTGCTGTTAAAACAAAAAACACAGTAAAAAGTATTTGTTTTCTGTTTTTGTTAAAAGAAAAAAAACCTATTACAAATATTTGCCACCAAGAGATTCACTTAAGTGGAAAGCCCTCTTGAAACTGTTGTTACTTTGTTCCAACTCTGCTGTTTTCTATCTCTTCTAGTAACTTGTTTGTTAGTGAAGGGGTGGTAAACCCTGTCAACCCCCTGCCTGCACACAACAGGAAACTACAAAGGGCTAAAACCCTTTTGTCTTTATCCAGGAACAACCACCAATGGTTGTTTCACCTGCGTGAGCAGGTCTTTGCACAGTCAACCACCCACTAAAGGAAAATTAGACCCTCAAGTATTTGTTCTTGTGAGTTTGCTTTTCTTCAACAATTGTTTATAAAATCAAGCTAACAGTGCAGAAAACCAGGTTGCTGCAAGAGTGTCTAAATGTGTCCTTTGAAAGCGGTTGTTGTTTTATTTCAGAGAAACACACAAAAACTTGAACCCTCTCCAGTTACGTTGTTGATGTTTTTTAAGAAAGCAGAAAAAAGTGATAAAAAGTTATCATGATGGGAAACAAATCCCACAGCATTCCATACAAATTTCCAAACAGTCTGATGATTCACAACAGGCATCCATTATGCCACAGTCCATATCACACGGGCAGTTGCAGTCATCTCCCATTTCTTCTCCACAGCAGCAACAGCAGGCTTCTATTGGGCAGACCCCACATGACGCTTGTCCCAGGACAAGGCTACAGAGGGTGACGAATTCGCAGAACAAGCAGGACAAGATACAGTGAACACAGCAATCTTTGGAAATGTGGCACAGCATGTTGAGGGAGAGAGGAAAGATAAAAGGAAATAAAAAGTTAAAATTGCATTCTAAATGCCCCCTTGAAGGGGAGGGGGACTTTTAAAGAAGAGCAATACAAATTGAAGCTACTTTTTTTTCTTCCCACAATACATAGCTCACATTCCTTGATTTCTGCTTCTGTGCTGCACAAAGGTTTCATCAGCTCAGCACTGAGAGGAACAATATATTCACAGTCTATAACTAATTTTAGCACAGACCAACATGTCAACAAGGTGTTGACATTGTTCTTCCATTTGATGAGACTTATTCAGCCTGTAAGCTACAAAATACAACTCCTAAGTGAATTTTATCTAGCAAACAGAGAAAAATGAGAGCTAGGGTGGTTCTTCCAGACCGGTGTTCTTCTGGACGTGGCATTTACACACACAGCATACAATCCATCCCTTTCACTCTTTTAAAAGAGAGACTGTTATCCCACAAGTGAATTTTTTACGTATATATTTCTAGTAATTTTTCGCACCAGTTCCCAAGTCTGTTCTATGCATTTTTTAATTGCACTTAATGTAATGCTCTAAGACACAGCTATGCGCATTTTACTGTCTTAGCCATACAGAGATTCATCTTGGGTTTAATCTAGTAATTAAATCAGCAGCAGACAACCATCCTGGATATCGGAAGGACTGTCTTCTATCAAAGGCTGCCCAAATTCTCCACTCTGCATTTAGATGGGTGGTGCCCACGGAAAGGGTTTTGTAGGTCACGACATCACCTGCACCAACGTTAATGTCTTTTCTAGATCAAACACTTTCTTTGTCTCAAGACATTCTACAAGTTTTATAGCTGATATCAGACCCACCGACAAGACAGCCAACGAGATATAGAACACAGATGTTTTTGAATTTAAAATCAGTGTGGGCACTACCCACATCCTGCCTTTTAGCCACAGGATATCCTGTGGACAGGATAAGAAGCTAGTGCCTAGGTGGGGAAAGGCAATGGAAATTCCATTCGCTTTCAAAATCAAACTATACAGAAAATTCAGAATTTCAGGAATTAGTTATCTAGTTTATTTCACAAACTTCTTAAAAAAAATGAGGTTGAGGAATCTGAGACGCTTGGGCTTATAAAAGGGTCATAACACTAGTCTAGTGAACACTTTGAGGTTTTTTTCTTTTGAGCTGTTGAGCCCTCAGCTGTATCACAAACTGTTTTTGAAACTCCCACCGTTCAAAAAGTGTTTTTTTATGTGATATTGGATGGGTTGGGGCTGATATTTGAGAAAAATAAATCTAAAGCTTCTTGGGCTCATGGAATCAGGTTCACAGTTCTTTGAAACATGTGTGCATGCATGAGAAGGAGAGACCAGCAATCCAGGCATTACTGTACTTGAAAAATAAAATTTGACACAGGCAAGACAGCAGAGTCAAGCCTCTAAACTACATAAAGTGAACAGATCTTTTTGATTTTGGGTAGCCAGACTGTACTAAGATAAAATAGTGTCAAGTTAAACTTACAGTCTTGTAGTGAACAGTTCAGACAACGGAACATAAATGGGTGGAAATAAGGTTTACATTTTAATTCATTAACACTGCTATCCTGTACTTGTCTACTCAAAAGTAATCCCCACTGAGTTCAATGGGACAGAATCCCAGGAGTGCAGTCCTAATTCTACCAGTCACCCTACAGAATTTACAAAGTCAGCTATATGCAGGTGCTTGTTTTGTCAAACATCTCAGAAAGTAGAACCCAGATATTGATCTACTACAGATGTTCTTCTACTACTTTCAGGTCAAGTATAGGAGGAAGAAAATGTACACATATCCCCCCCCCCCGCAAGGATATTCTCAACTCTCCCCTCCTCACAGAAAGTAAGCATGAGCCACTCATACTTCCTCTATTGCCACTTTAAACAAACAAACAAGCAAACAATGAAACAAACACCACTTTGCTTGAAAAAAGGGAAATAAGAAAATACAAAACAAAATAAAAATACACCAGAAACTTCCTGTTGCAGCTTCTTTAAAGCATCTGAAGATGCCTTCAGGGAACATCTATATGAGCCACTGAAGATCTCTGTGAAACCCTTATTGACTTTTCTATTGGCTCCCACCTTTTAGAATTATCCTTCACTTCAGATGTGGTATGGTATGGTATATGGGATTTCTCATTTTTCCCTTCTTCTTCTTAAATAAAACAATGCACTTTGCTCTGGAAAGCAGACTTTAAACATGTTATATAAAACATGTGGCCTTTCAGATGTCATTAACCTTCAACTTCCATCAGCCTCAACCAAAATGGACAGGACTGATGGGAGATGGAAGTCAACAACATCTAAAGGGCTAGGTGCTCCCCATCATGCTATGTTTTGGTTGCCTTTTAAATGTGGCACTTTTCGTGTGGATTCTGTTTATTAGTGTATTGAGAGTTACATGCTGCGTGTTTCATTTTAATTGTTTTAGTATTTCACATTAATTTAAGCCTCTTTTGCTGTTTTTGAGAAGTAGGGAAGGAAATCTGATAAATGACTGGGAAGAATTGTGTATTTGGCCTCCCACCCTTGAAATGACGAAAATGTGTTTTTTAATTGAAGAAACTGATGTAGGAATTGTGACAATAGGGTTATTGGGAAGAATAGACAACCGCTAAAAGGCTTGCCCTCGAAATACATAAACATCTTGGTTTAAGTAGCATTACTTGCATTTGTTAGCTCATTCCTACACACAATGGTCAGAAATATGCAAATAGGTTGAATGTAGCATGAAAAGAGGTTATGAGAAACAAAAAAGGGGGAAGAGCTATACTAAATCAGCTAGATGGTAAAATAAGAAGAGTGGTTGTGTGCATTAAATGGGATTCTTTATGTGAAGAATAAATGTACCTGTAAATGACCTTCATCCAAAGCTCAGCAGATATGACATGTGAAGTGAAGCTGGGGAGTACAAGTTCAGTGAAGAGGACCAAAGCCAGATTGATGGGGATTAATTAGCTTGTTGTCATGGAGATTGTACTTGACTAAATCTAATACAATTTCCTCCCTTTTTTTAATGTAAAGGATGGGCAGAGAGGAACAAACAGCTACATTGGCTTCAACACTTAAAAATAAGTGTATCTTATTTTTCCCCTCCATCCGGGCAGTTTGATGCAAATCAAAAAGGGGGTCTTTATTTATTCCATTCAACAGGTTCTCACAGAGGCTTAGAGAGAGAGACAAACAGCACAACAAATTCTTTCTTGATTCCTTAAAATCAAGTTTTGTCATATGGCTGACACCCTTCTGTTTCATACAAGCCTTCCCTTACGGAAGACTCCAGCCACAGTTGTGATTTATTCTTATGAAATACCCTTATTGTGTTATTGTATATCATCATTTAGTCTGTAAATAGATTAAGGAAATTCTCAATCTATTTAAAGGGCAATAAATATTTTCAAACAGAGAAAGAAAATGTCAACAACATGAAGATAATGACTCTAGAAGAATGCAGACAAACAGCTACTGTAATGCAATTTTTTTTTTAAAAAATTGTTGGCTCAGTTTTCAGGCTTTCAAAATGAAATCTAACTTTAAAAAGGCAAAGAACATTGCATACACCTACCCACAATGAACATCATTCTGTTTGTGGGGCTATCCAGAACAACTACTTTTAAAAAACCCTAGTTGATTTCTTAAGGCTGCATTTCAGCTCTGAAAAGAGCCATTGCATTTTATTTATGTAAACAGACATAAGGCACTGTTTATTCTCAGACATAAGAAAGACACTTCATTCTCAGATAATTAGCAATGGCTAAAGTGGTCTATGCATGCTCAATTACACAGAAAAATGTGAAAATATAATGATTCTGATTGGGTATTAATGTGAATTGTTTAAAAAAGTTTTCTTTTATGCACATTCTGTTAACATGGGTTAGGCGGCTATATTTTGCTATTCCATTTCAAGATTACATATACAAAATAGCTTTCTTGTCTGTTTACACACAGCCTTCCCCAACTTGGTGCCCTCCAGATTGTTTTGAACTACAACCTGCAATGACACAGACATACTAGCTGGGACTAGTGAGAGTTATACATACATACATAGGACCAGCATAGTGATGGCTCATCTAGACTATGATCAATTTTACCCAAAAAGCTACCAGAACCATTATCCTCAAGAAGTTTCAATTCAGTACATAGTCTGCTCTAGTCCTAGCTTACTTACCAGCTGCCTAAAAAGTTACACAACTAATTTGATTTTATGATCTAGTGCCTCTATTTTCCCAACAATGCAAATGTTGTCACTGCCACTGTTAACAGCAGTATGTGGGGTGTCTTTTAGCAAGAATATAAAGGCAGTACCCACATGCACACAATGAAACAAATAGCATCCAGTAGTTCCCTAAAATGATCCAATTCTATGTAAACATTTGGAAATATATTATACTTTGGATTTTTAAAAAGTAGCAAGAACCACACATTTATAATAACTGGGTACAACCATTCTATGCTATATAGACTATGAAGATTTCCTTTATTTATAGGCCAGAGGTGGCTAACCTGTGGGTCTCCAGATGCTGATAGAATAAAACTCCCACCACCAAAGATGTCCAATGGCTGGCTGATGGGAGTTAGAGATCCAAACATCTGGAAGGTCACATTAGTCATCCTGAATAAGGGCACCTGTTGTTGAAAATCCATACGTTCACCCTTACATATTTTAAACTGAACTACACCACAGAACCAGTGGTGGTGTAGTGGCTACAGTGTCAAACTAGGCCCTGGGAGACCAGAGTTCAAATCTCCACCTGGCCATGAAGCTCACTGGGCAACTTTGGGTAAGTCACTACATCTCTCAGCCTAATCTACACCTCACAAGTTGTTGTAAGGATAAAATGGAGGGGAAGAGAACCATGTATACCACCTTGAGCTCATTGGAGAAAGAAGGTAAGCTACAAATGCAAGCTACAAATGTTTCGTTTTATTGTGGGAGATATGGGTAGGGCGGAGAAGAAGAATAAACAA